GTCTGTGGAGTGTGTTGAATCCTCTACCTTCCCTTAGCCATGGCCATGGCATCCAGGGTTTCTAGAAAGTTCCCTCATAGGATAACAGCAGGAGGCCCAGCTTCTGTTGGCATCGCTGGCAGCTGTGATTCTCAAGGTCCAAACACAGCCCGTTATCTTTGGCTCATCATCAGTGCCCTTGACTTTCCACCCTCTTAGCTCTTTTCCATCCCTTGCTGGCTGGGCACACTGGGATTGTTTTTGCAGGCTGCTCTAGGGGGAAGTGACATCATGTGGTGTCCTCAGCCAGAGGGATGGGGGTAGGGGCTCTGCGGTTGGGTGTGCTTTGAATTAAGTCAACGCTTGTGCATTCCAGTAGCCAGCATCTGGCAGTGAATTCATCAGCCAGTGTAGCACTCTTGATGGCAAACCCAGATGTTGGGTTAGCAAAAGGAAAAGAGGAAAAAGCAAATTTTGAGCCGCAGGGAGTGGGGGGTGGGCAGTGGTTAGGGCACAAAAAGTCTCCTGCTGCTGTGCCCAGCTCCTTGGATAGGTAGTGAGACAGGGCAGGATGTGGCTAGCCCTGACCTGGTGTCTGCCCCCAACCTAGCATCTAAATGTCCAGTCAGCAGGCACTCATGCCTTGCTTCTAGTTCATCCCAAATTCTTTGGGTCTCTGCATTTCCCTGTCCTTCAGATGGCCTGGGACTTGAAGAGGTTGTCCGTTCTGTGATGTGGAGTCCTTTCCTCTACAGCCCTGGTGGTCACCCTGGAGGTCACAGTGATGACCACTGTCGTGCATGTGGGCTAAGCTTCTAGAGAATTCTTTATTTCCTCCCCTTTCCTGTCTTCCACCCCGGATTTCCTGTCCATCTGTCTGCCCGCTGCCTAGATCAGACGTCCCTCTAAGGCCGGGACTGTGAAAGTTTTTACTGGCAAGACCTCCCCATCCCCTTCTCTCCCCACTGATCTCACCAGTGACAGCTACAGCTAAGACAGGTGTCTGCCGCAGCAACAGCGACAGCCTCATCTCGCAGCAGGGACACCAAATGAGAGGAACCCATCATGCTTCTGCTCTAAAGGATCAGTTGTCTGGGTCCCTGCGGGTTTTCTAGGTCCCTGCGGCTAGCGGCTAGCCAAAAGCAGCCCGGCTGTCAATGGAGAGTCTACCTGCCCCTCCCCCACTCCCCACAAGCATCCCGGACCTTCCCCCCAGTTAACTTTCTAGCCTGAAAACCACCATCTCTTCTGAAAATTTCAAAAATGAAAGCGTATGGTCCACAGCCCTCAGGCAAGGTGAACACAGGACTAGGGACGGCTCTCCAGATTCCTGTTGTGCAGGAGCAGAGAAATCTGCCCTGTTCACTCTTCCACCATGTGTCCTTTGCACTCGGTGCCCACACCCAGGGCCTCACTGACCCTCCCCATCCCCATCACTCACCCTCACTAAACCCATCATTCCCACACCTGATTGCTCTTGGCATTTTAGCTTAGATCTTGTCAGGGATTCAGGTGTGTGGGAACTTGGGGACCCATAAGACAGCAGTATTAGGTCCTCAGTGCCATGGGAGAGAATGAGACCCTTTGGCTGTTTATTTTCTGATTGCCAGGTAGGTGGTGCATTTATTGAACTTTTTGTTGTTCCTTGTTTTGTGATGAGACATGGTCTCAAGTAGCCCATGCTACAGCCTCAAACTCTGTAATAGTTCAAGGGAATGCTGAGATTCCAAACATGTGCCATGTCCAGCTGTAAGTGTTGGGACTTGAGCTCAGGGCTTTGTGGTTGCTATATAAGCCCTCCCCCGACCGAGCTACAGCCCCAGCCCTTAGCGAACACACTTGAGCGTTAAGCATTGTGCAGCGTAGTGGGCCACTACTGAGAAGCAAGTTCTCTCGGCTGGTAGAGGGAAGTAGACTGTCCTTTAGGACCCCTGCCCCGTCTTGTTTCTGAGCTGATGATAGGGCTATACAAAGAACACACGCATGGCAGTGTTCGCCTGGCGCGCTTACATGTTTGCATACGCACCTCGATGATGGTTGTATAGATTCCACGGGGGTGTTGGGGGGGGCGAAGACCAGCCACGCCTGCCCCATCATCCCAAGGCTGTCAGTCAGTCTAGTTCCATCTGGTAGTTGTTTTCTGAGCCCCAGCTGTTCCACAGCATGGCCTCTACTTGCCAGGGCCTCTCAGCAGACAGGTGCACAGACATTTACAGCGGAGCGTGTGAGAGATGGACAGTACACCCATCGCTGCAGGAAGAAGACAGGAAGGGGCTGTTTTTCAGGGGAGGCGGGGGCCTGGAGGCGACATTTTAGGTAGAAGAGCTTTCCTGTTCCGAGGCAGGACGTACCTGAATATCCTGGCATGTGGGGGACAGCGAGCAGAATGCATTAGGGAAGAGCAAGGGCCAAGTGGGGTTGCAGAAGGTGTAGCCCTGGCTGTCCTGGAACTTGTTCTGTAGCCCAGGCTGGCCTCAAACCCAGAGCTCCTCCTGCTTCTGCTTCCCCAGTGCTGGGATTAAAGGCGGGCATCACCGCTTCTGGCTCGGATTTTAAGTGAAGGAATTTTGCAAGAAATGTTTATGGGGAAGGCACAGAACCAAGAGAGAACCCTGTGTTCTAGGGTGGCCTGCCAGGTAGCTTTACCAGGTTGTAGCTGTTTGAAGTGAGGCCTGCTTTGGGCTGGGAAACAGGAACCTGTGGCCAGGCCAGTGGTGACTCAGCTGCACAGAAAGACCAATGTCAATGGGCCTCGGAGCTGGGTGGGGCCTGGGCTGTGGTGTGAGACTCCGTGGGGAGGGATCCAGAGCGCATTGCTGGGGTCTGAGGAGCAGATGGCACTCCCACGTGCCTGGACCTCCCTGCTTCTGTGGGAAACAGTCCTGGCCAGAAGTTTCCAAGACTCAAGCTGACCGCTGGAGACTCTGAGCCGGCATCGGCTGCCCCTTGTCTCCATCTAGCTCACGTGCACAGTGACAGAACCCTTGCCCAGAGTGACCCTACACCACTGCCTTTTGAAGGTCAAACCTTTTAAAGCCATTAAAACAGACCCTGACCCAGCTAATAACCTCCGAGTAAAGAAAAGGAGGGCCCTGCCTGTGGCGGGATCTGCTGAGCCTCGGTCGTAGGGTTTCCAGGGAGGGACCAGGGGCTTAATTCCTAATAGACAACCCATGTTAGGCACAACCAGGCTCCAGAACATGCTGCAACTTTCCTGGTGTATCCCTTCCCATTGCTTCTTTCGATTGTTGACTTGAATGCACGTCTGACATGACCTGCCTCCTCACCATCTGTGTCTAAGGTTTGAGAGCCACACTGGCATTACTGACCACATCCATTACTGATCCCGCATAATACGCTTTCCAACTCCATGTCTGTCACACTTCTCACAGACTGCACATTACTATAGAGAATGTCCCACAAAGCCACGTGTGGTGGCTTGCTCTTGTAATCCCAGCACTGGGAAGGAAGACCCGGGACAAGCCTGGAGGCCTGCTGGCGAGACAGCCAGTGTGCTCCAAGCCGGTGAGAGACCCTGTCTCAAAAAACAAGGTGGAGAGTCAGCGGCATGACTCAGTGTGCCAAGGTGCTTGCCACAAAGCCTGCCGGCCTGCGTTCTACCCCTGAAGCCCACGTGGTGGAGAGAATTGACTCCCACGAGTGGTCCTCTGACTCTGACGTGTTGGCTGCATCATGCAGCATGTAAATCCTGCCCACCCCCAATAAATGAAAATGGAAAAGAAAGAAAAAAAAAAAGACCCAAGGCAATGGCACCTAAGAAATGATACATGAAGCTGTCCCTTGACTTTCACATGTATGACCCCTAGGACATTTCTCATGGAAACCTCTTTCCTCTGTATTGCTAGGGAGGGGACTCGGGTCCTCCGGCATGCTAGGCAGGTGCTTTGCTCTGAGTTGTACGTTAGCACCCCCAAGAGACCCCAAATCTGAATAAACCGGGCTCCTCTGAGGTGGACGCCTGCTCATCTGCTCTAGCCCCCAAAGCCTGAGTGAGGATGAGGTGCAGGAATGTCAGGGCCTTCTCACAGCAGCCCTGCCTGCAGGGGCAGGACGGCATGCCAGGCCATTTGTTTAACCGTTTTTCTAGCCCCCGCTAAGTAGGAAGAACCGGGCCCATGGCCAAGGCCTGCTGTACAGAGCCACTGGGGTCCTAGGATTCATCGGGGGATTTGGTTGGGTTTTGGTTTTGGTTTTGTTTGACACAGGATCTCAGTTTGCAGCCCTTGCTGACCTGGAATTCACGACTTAAACCAGGCTGGCTTTGAACTCACAGAGATCTACCTGCCTGTGCCCCAAGTGCTAGAATTAAAGGTGTACGTCATCACACCCAGCTTTTTGGTTTTTGATTTTGTCTTTTGAGTCAAGTTTGTGGTTGTTTTGTTTGTTTGTTTGTTTATAGACAAGATTTCTCTGTGTAGCCCTAGCTGTCCTGGAACTCACTCTGTAGACCAGTCTGGCTTCAAACTCAGAAACCCATCTGAGTGCTGGAATTAGAGGTGTGTGCTGCCGCCACCACACACACACACACACACACACACACACACACACACGCACGCACGCACGCACGCACGCACGCATGCACGCACGCACGCACGCACACCACCACCACCTGGCAAAACAGGGTTTTATTAGCCCAGGCTGCCCTTGAAGTTCTGACCCTCCTGACTCTATCTCCTAAGGGCTGCTGTTAAAGATGTGCCCACTTTTATATGATGCCAGGTGCTAGACACTGAACACAGGCCTTTGTGCCTACTAGCCAAGCACGATACCAGTTGAGCCCCATCCCAGCCACGGCAAAGAACTCTTGCTGGCCACCCCAGGACGACAAGCCGCAGAGCCTTGCTTGTGCTTGATCAGACTCCTCTGACACCCCAGATTACAGCAGGTGGGCAGTAGGCCCCCCTCCCCCTCCCACAGGGAGGACGCCTTTCTCCCCTGGGCAGAGCCTGAATCCTGGTCCTCAAGGACTCTCCTCATATCTGTGTCTCTGTGTTTTGCAGTGATCAGGGCCAAAGCAGTGAGCGAGAAGGAGGTGGATTCCGGGAATGACATCTACGGCAACCCCATCAAGAGGATTCAATATGAGATCAAGCAGATAAAGGTAACCCCTGACTTCTTGGGGGAAGCTAGGGTGGGGCCTGGGAACGCCTCTCAGCCATTGTAAGGCAGAAAGCTGAGTTGTCAAGCCACGAAGAAGCCCAGTTCTTCTTAAGCCACAAGAACATGAAAAGCTGGCAGAAATTTTAGGTTTCCAACTGTCTGAGTCACTGTCCTATGCTGTGAAGAGACACCAGGACCAAGGCAACTCTTGTAAAAGAAAGCATTTAATCGGGGGCTGGCTTACAGTTTCAGGGGATGAGTCATGATCATCACAGTGGGAAGCAGACAGACATGGAGCAGTAGCTGAGAGCTTCATATCCTGACCCAAAGGTAGCAGCAGGTGGAGAGAGAAAGACATTGGGCCTAGCATGGGCTTTTGAAACCTCAAAGCCCACCCCCAGTGACGAACCTCTTTCACCAAGGCCACACCTCCTAATCTTTCCCAGACAGTTCCATCAAGTGGGGGACCAAGCATTCACGTATTTGAGCCTATAGGACTGTTTTCATTCAAACCACAATGTCACCCTAATTCTAGAAACAGGTTACTTTGATTTTACCGGGTGATAAGCCGGTGAGTCGCGTGTCCTAAGAGGATGAGTCTGGCAGGCAGGTGTGCTCAGTGGCAGCTTCCTGACTGTGGTGGGCCACTTACAGAGAGGTAAGGTAGCCGATGAGTGACAGGGCTGTGGTCTGGGGACTGTGGATGGCCGCAGCGGTGGCTGTGGTGATGTCGGCTAGTGTGATCAGAGAACTCCCCGTGTCAGGGACAAATGGGAAGAAACCAATGTTTGAGAGAGAGAGAGAGAGAGAAAGAGAGAGAGAGAGAGAGAGAGAGAGAGAGAGAGAGAGAGAGAGAGAGAGGAGAGAGAGAGAGAGAGAGAGAGAGAGAGAGAGAGAGAGAGAGAGAGGTTAAGGAGAGGCTGGGGGTGTGGCTCAGTTGGTAGCATGCTTGTCTGGAACGCATGAAGTTCAGTGTTTGGTCCCCAGTGTTGCAAAACTAAGCAGGGTGGTACGTGCCTGCTCTGACAGTTGACGTTTACTAACTTGGTGTCCAAAGAAAGACAGCTGGCCCCGCCGGTGCGAGGGACAGCTTTGTCACACAGTGGTGGTTGTAGCTATCCTTACTTACCGACGCTGAAAATAAATGAGATGGCTCAGCGGTTAAGAGTACTGACTGCTCTTTCAGAGGACCTGGGTTCAATTCCCAGCACCCACATGGCAGCTCACAACTGTCTGTAACTCCAGTTCCAGGGGACCCGACACCCATGGCAAAACACCAATGTACATAAAATAAAATAAAATAAAATAAAATAAAATAAAATAAAATAAAATAAAATAAAATAAAATAAAATAAAATAAAATAAAATAAAATAAGGCCGGGCGGTAGTGGTGCACGCCTTTAATCCCAGCATTTGGGAGGCAGAGGCAGGAGGATCTCTATAAGTTCAAGGCCAGCCTGGTCTACAGAGTGAGTTCCAGGACAGGCTCCAAAGCTACACAGAGAAACCCTGTCTCAAAAAAACAAAACAACAACAACAAAAGACAATAAATGTTATTGACAGACCAGAGGAGCGAGCACTTGCTCATCACACGTGTCATCTCAAGAGAACAACTAACCTCTCAATACCCAAGTCTCTATGAGGCGGAGTAGCAGGTGGGCTTTCATAACCTCCTTGTGGCTTCACGCCAAGAAGTGACTCTGACCTCTTGGTGTCATTTGAGATGCATAAGGAGGCTGTTGCCCTTGCGACCTTCCTACAGGGTTAGAGCCACGCTCCCCAAAGCTGCTTTGGCCTGGAGAGGGACTGGAGCCGAGGGCTCAGTGGGTAAGAGCGCTTGCTGCTGTCCGGAGTTTGGGTCCCAGTACCCTGTCGGGCAGCTCACAACTACCTGCATCTCCAGCTTGAGGGGATCTGGCTTCCGAGGGCACCTGCATGCACGTGGCAGCAGACACTCAGACACAGACACACCAGCCTCTTCGGGAGAGTTAGGAAGGGTATGAGTAGAAGGGGAACTCTAGACTCTAGCATCGGCTTCCTCCTCCGCGGGACAGCAAGGGCACTCCTGAAGAGCGGAAGTGAGTCAGACACTGAGAGACACCCCCCCTCCCTGAGCTTATGTTCTGGTTCCGGGGAATGACCCTCTCCCCTCTGTTGTCTTCAGGTAGCCAGAGTGTCACCAAAATCCCTGGACATAAACGGCGCGTCGTAGTACAAGCCTATAAACCAAACATCCAGGCTGAGGCAAGAGAATGGAGAGTAGAAATCAGGCCTGGCTACAAAGTGAGACTTTTGTCTCAGAAAAAAAATTATAGAAGTAGGGCTGGGGTGTAAATTATTGGGCTCAAGACCCCAGGTTTAATCCAGGAGAGGGGATGGGGGTAAGTAAAAAGGGAAGATCAAAAGAAAAGGAGAAAAATCCTTTTTTGTTGTTTGTTTTTGTGGTTTTGTTTTTGTTTTTTTGGGGGTGTGTGGGAGTGTTGGTTTTTGGTTTTTCAAGGCAGGGTTCTCTGTGTAGCCTTGGCTGTCTTGGAACTTACAGAGTTCTGATTGCCTCTGCCTCCCGAGTGCTGGGATTAAAGACAACCCCCCCACACACTTTGTTTTGTTTATAAAACAAGCAAATTAACCCTGTTTGTGGGGACAAAGATGTGACCCTCTGTGGCAAGTGGGAATCTCTAGAATTTTCCAGAGGTTCTGAAATGACCTCATGCTTGGAAATGTCCTTGGACTGTCTCCTGCAGATGGCAAGGCTGTGCTCACCTGCTGAGAGCTGCCTGAACAGGTGTGTGACTCTGGACGCCTTCGCAAAAGCAGCAGTGGCCTGTGAATCCCTGTGACATGCCTGTTACCCTCTGTGCACCTTCTGTGTGCAGTCATGCACCCCTGTTCCTGTCACGTTCTGGTTGGGAACCCCGTCTCGGCTTACCCCTGCCCTACTGTGTTTTGCAGATGTTCAAGGGACCTGACAAAGACATCGAGTTCATCTACACGGCCCCCTCCTCAGCAGTGTGCGGGGTCTCGCTGGACGTTGGAGGGAAGAAGGAATATCTAATTGCAGGTGAGTAGGAGCTGGGCCTTCCCCACTGAGTGCTGGATCATGGCACCCTAACAGAATTCCTCTGCATGCCTGTGTCCTGGTCCCTAAGGAACAGCCTTCCTACACTGCCCTCTAGGGGCGAACCAGCCCATCTGCATGGGCACTGGGACTGCTGGTGGCCCATGTCATGGAGACTCTGGTGAAGGGGCCTTTGTCTTGCCAGCACCTCCTTCCAGGGGCGGCACCCCCCAGGTCCTTGCCTATACAGAAGCTGTCTGCATTAGCGGCCTCTCCAGTGGGCTACAATCCTGGGAAGTCCAGCAGCAGCTCCTTCCCTGGGCACAGGCTGGGAGGCAGGGGATTTCCCATTTCTTTCTATAGAGATTGCACAAACCCTCTACCTTCGTGTTATAAAGGCGTTCCCATGATCCCCCAGTGCAGGTGAAGGTTTGCCTCAGGCACGGTGATTAACATGGGGTCCATTCGCAACACCTGGCAAGAACCTGTGGTTCTGTTTCTTGTGAGCTGATTGATGTCATATGGGCAGCTGAAACCCAGCCAGAGTGGGGGCATTTCTGGCATAGAAATCACCAGCCACTGCAGAGAGGACCTTTTCCTCCTGGGAGAGCCAGTAGACAGAGGCTCCTCAGCACAGCCCGGCAGCTCCTGCTGCCTCTAGCAGTTTTCCTTCTTTAAAAATAGTTTATTTTTATGTGTATGAGTGTTTTCACTGTTCCGCTACCTGCTGGGATTCCTTGCAACCTGTGACACTCCAGATGCCCAGGCTGTACCCAGTGCAAGCCAAGGAGCATCTGGGGCCGCAGTCTGTCCTCTGGGGAGTCCCTGTGTAATCAGGGCTCGCAGCCACTTTCTAACCAGAACCTTCCTCGACAAAGGGCAGACGTTGCCAATAGCTAGTTAATGCACACTGGGAGGCAGGCACTTCGGTAGGCAGACACGGCCATCTCCCGTGAACACGGGCGCTATTTTTGACCTCCTGGGGCCAAAGCTGTCAGTCAGACCTGCTTACCACTTGGATATTCCAAGCATGGGCACAGCTTTCTGTTCCATGAGATGGAAACCAGCCCACCAGACCAATAAGGGGCTCTGGGCAGGCAACCTACAAATAGGTAAGCCTTGCCTTGCTATCAGGAGCCCTGACACACAGTGACTGCTACAATTAGGCTCAAACTCCTGCCCCATGCCTGGTGCCCTGACGTATGAGGAAGCTTGCGTCCCTTGAGCAGAGGGGAGGGCGGAGTCCTCCAGGGCAGCAGTGTGATGAACATTGCTGGGGCCGCTCTCTTCTGTATACCGGGTGTGTGTGTGTGTGTGTGTGTGTGTGTGTGTGTGTGTGTGTGTGTGTGTGTGTGTGTGTGAACAGTAGGGCATTCTCTCTGGCTCTGCCCCTCTTCTGCACAAGCCAGGCTCCGGGTCCACGCAAAGCCTGGAGATCAGTCCACACAGGAGGCCAGGTTACTTCAGTGCGTGTGGACGTCAGTTTCTATCGTGCAGAATCCCTGTCTTCCACGTTGGCCGTCAGGTTTCCCACACACACCATCTGTTTTGTACGGTCCCTGCTGCAGCCACGTGTGTCCAGCTCCTCTCCGTCTTAGTAAGGAGAAGCTCACACAGAGTAAAGCACAACTTCCCAGGCCTGCTGAGACTCCACTACAGCTGCAGATGCAGTGCAGATTGAAACCACCCAAAGCCACTCAGAAACCGCGTGCCTGTCACCTTAAACTACGCCACACTTACTACCCAGACACATGGCACATTTTAGTCCCCTGACTGGCATGACACCAACAAAAGACATCTTCAAACATTCTGCATGCTGTTTAAAAGCTGCACTAGTGTCTCTGGGCATGGTGGCACGAGTCTTTGATCCTAGCACTTGGGAGGCGGAGGCACACAGTGAGACCTTGTCTTGAGAAACAAAACTCCTGCGGTACCTGGGCCAGCTAGACATCTCAGTGGGTAGAACACTGGCCGCTGAGCCTGACAGCCTGAGCTGAATCCCCAGGACTCACATGGAAGAAGAAGAAAGGGGTGATAAGTTGTCATCTGATCTCCACACACACACACCACACATGTACCCACTCACTCATGCCCACACAAAATAAAGGACTATAACAAAACCTACAGAAAACACATACAGTGCAATTGTCTTTATAACTCCTCCTGAGCGCGGTACATACAGTACAGTTTTCTTTATAACTCCTCCTGAGCACGGTACATACAGTACAATTGTCTTTATAACTCCTCCTGAGCATGGTACATACAGTACAATTGTCTTTATAACTCCTCCTGAGTGCGGTACATACAGTAGAATTGTCTTTATAACTCCTCCTGAGTGCGGTACACACAGTAGAATTGTCTTTATAGCTCCTCCTGAGCACGGTACATACAGTACAATTGTCTTTATAGCTCCTCCTGAGCGCGGTACATACAGTACAATTGTCTTTATAACTCCTCCTGAGCGCGGTACATACAGTACAATTGTCTTTATCACTCCTCTTGAGCGTGGTACATACAGTAGAATTGTCTTTATAGCTCCTCCTGAGCGCGGTACATACAGTAGAATTGTCTTTATAACTCCTCCTGAGCACGGTACATACAGTAGAATTGTCTTTATAGCTCCTCCTGAGCATGGTACATACAGTACAATTGTCTTTATAACTCCTCCTGAGCACGGTACATACAGTAGAATTGTCTTTATAACTCCTCCTGAGCGTAGTACATATAGTGGATTTGCCTCTGTACCCCCACCTGAGCATGGGCTTCAGTGGCACTAAATGGATTCACAATAGCATGTAACTATTGCTGTCTATCGGGCATGATGTCATCTTCCCACACTACATATCTGCCCACGGGCCAAGAGCATCTCACTCCTTGTCTTTCCCTGCCGAGAGTCCCAGCCTCCTACTTCCAGTTTCTGTGAACTTGCCTATTGTAGCCAGCTCACGGTTCTTGTGAGCAGCTTATTTCACTGAGCATGATGTCAGGTTCTGTCCATGCTACAGCAGGTGTAAGACTTGCCTCCTTTGTGTGTGTGTACACACAGGTACATACCTACACATATATACATACATGCATACACACACATACCACATATACAAACACATATGAACATGTACACATGCTTATCACACACACACACACACACACACACACACACACACACACACACACACACACCACAACTATCCTTAGAATAGCTGTGATGCCAGTATACTACTTCGGACAGCCAGAGATGTTTCTCTGTGCCTCTTTTGGTCTCTCTGTGAGGACCATTCTTTGGCACAACTCAGTGATGACTGTGCCTGCCCGTCAGTCAGCTGCTCTGCCACACACCTCATTCTTCTCTTGGGAGAGGGACCCAGCGTGAGGCACACTCTCCAACAAACTCTTATCTTTTTCTTTTTGGGCTTGGTCAGGTGACTCCAGCCAGATTGGATGATCTTTAACTGCCCGAGGCACAGAACCTGTTTCCCATTCTTTAGTCAGGACCAGCCCTTTAACGGGAACTACCCAGAAATCACACGTCTCAGCCAAGTGCCCCGCCAGCTGGCTGCGGACACCTCTCCTCCCAGGCCCATGATTCAGCTTCACATGTGGACTCGTACAGGGTTTCCCTGTCATTTCTTTTAAGTTTCTCTCTCCTGAGAGGAGAAGTCAATGAGTAACCCCAGCTGCACATTTCACTCAGTCCCTGTTCTCCTGTACCCAAGACTCACTCTTTGCCTTTTCCCACGTTAAAATGTGCAGCAGATGATCATGCCATGTGAGCCCGACCAAGTGTGATGATGCTAAAGGGGCTTCTTCTTTTTTTAATTAGTGTTCACTAATTATACAAATAATAGCAGACCTTCAAGATGGCTCAGCCAGTAAGGGCATTTGCCAAAGAAGCTTGATGACATTTGTTCAACCCCCAAACCCATGTAAAAGTAGAAGAAAAGACAACATGAAGTTGTCCCGACTCCTACATGCATGCTGTGATGTGTAGAAGTGCTCTCACACACATAAACATCAGACATGCAATAAATATTTAAATAAGAATCATTGTGACATTGTCATACATGTATTTAGTGTACTTTGGTCTGGGGCCAGAGAGATGGCTTAGTGATTAAGAGTGATTGCTCCACAACCATGAGGACCTGAGTTCAGATCCCAGCAGTCATGTGAAAAGCCAGGCATGGTCCCACACATGGAGGGGTGTGGCAGCTGCAGATGAGGGGATGGGGAACCCCCTTCCCCTTCATTGTTACATCCTAAATTTTCTACATGGAGCATTGTTTTAGTTTCATTTCTGTTTCTGTGATAAAACACCCTGACAAAAAGCCACTTAGAGGAGAAAGGGTTGACTGGGACTCCTAGTTCAAGGTTATAGTCTCTCAGTGTGGGGAAGTCAAGGCAGGAACTTGAAGCAACTAGTGAAGAGCAGAAGAGGGAATAAATGCATGCACACTCCCCTGCTCGGTCGCTTGTGTTCAGCTTGACATCTTCACTCTTAGCAGTTTAGGACCCCTGCCTAGGGAATGGTGCCACCCACAGTGGGCTGGGTCTTTCCACGTGGATTAAGTAAGAGAGTTCCCCACAGATATATCCACCTGCCAACCCAAGGCAGACAATCCTTCATTGAGACTGTCTAAGTGGTTCTAGGTTATGTCAAATTACAATTAAAGTTAGCCATCATAAATATGCATCCCCCACCTTTTTTTTAGACAGGAATTTATATAGCCCAGGCTGGCCTCAAACTCACTATGTAGCCAAGGTTGTTTTTCAATTCATGATTCTCCTGCCTTTACCTCTTTGTACCCCACCATACCAGGCTTAAACATTCATTTTTATTTTTAAACTGATGCACACCTTTAATCCCAGCACTCGGGAGGTGGAAGTGGGTGGATCTCTGTGAGCTTGAGGCCAGCCTGGTTTACAGCATAAGTTCTAGAACAACCAAGGCTATACTGAGAAATATAACTGTCCCAAATAACAAAAAAATGAGGGTGTATTTTTGTTTTATATTATATGAGAAGGAAGTTACATGCCAGGGGGTACAGTGCCCACAGAAGCTGGAAGAGGGTGTCATATCCCCGGAAGCTGGAGTTACAGGCAGTTGTAATCTACCTGACGTAGGTACTTAGAATTCAACTCTGGTCCTCTGGAAGATAAGCAAACACTCTTAAACCACGGGTCATTTCTCTAGCCCCAATATGAGTTATTTTAAAACTCAGAGTAGTCCAACCATGGTGAGTTGGAGCTGACCCTCACACCCAGAGCTGCACCCAAATGCAGGAGGAAGGCAAAAGGAGGAGATGTGACCCCCACACTGAGCCTGGTGACTCTCCCACAGGAAAGGCAGAAGGAGATGGCAAGATGCACATTACCCTCTGTGACTTCATTGTGCCCTGGGACACACTGAGCACCACCCAGAAGAAGAGCCTGAACCACAGGTACCAGATGGGCTGCGAGTGCAAGGTGAGTAAGATCTGTGTCCCCTCCCCATCCCCCTCCCCTCCCTGGCTCTGCCACCACAAGGTCTCCAGGTGGACAGCAGGGCATGGGTCCTTGGCTTCCCAGACCCTCATGACAGTGAGTCCTGATTTTGGAATGAACTCTGGGAAGATAAGAGAGTGAGACTGTCTATCTAGAGACAAAGCTTTTGGTCCCAGGTCCTCAGAGAACCTTGGGTTGTATCCTTGGCAAGGAATATTTGGAAGATAAGGGGGTATAGGGATGGGACAAAGCACATAAATCAATCCATATGATGGGCAGCTTCTAAGAAAAGCTCCAAGGAAAGGAGATTTTGTGGGGAGAACATGGTCCTGGAAATATTTTCCTACCCATGTGTAGGTGTAAGCACTGTGTGTCCAAGAGCCGAGGTACTGCTCCCAACATTCTAGACTTCTGGGCAGGTCTCTGTGAATCTGCCCAGAGGTGGCACTAAGCAGAGTTGTAGATGTACACATGCTTAGATATGGTGGAGAAGGGTGAGATCTATTCCCAGATCTGGGGACTGTGTCACCTTCATAGAACAACCATGTCCATGGTCCTGATGCTTTTCCCCACATCTGTACCAGGTAGCCAGCATCCTTTCATGCTACCAGAAGTGAGTCTGAGGCTGAGAGTTGCCAGCAGAGTCCTGTTCTATGGGCCTGTGCCAGCTGACACTTTTTCTTGGTGCCTCCTCCCCTTCTGGCTGGTGCTTCCCATCACTTGATTATCAAAGGTGTCATTCCATGCCCAGGTATCCAGCCAAATACAGGCCAAGCGTGGCTCCTCTGTGCCTAGCAAACTCTAGTTGGGTGTGCTTATACAGCACCCTTGGGAGAGTGAGACAGGAAGATTGCTGAGTGAAATCAACCTGTGCTGCTGTAGAGTGAGTTCCTTGCCAGCCTGGTGAGTGAGATTCTATCTCAGAAAACAAGAAAAAACCGGTTGGCAAGTAGCTCAGCTGATAGAGTGCTTGCTAGCACGAAGCCCCAGGTTCCAGCTCTAGCACCACGTCAACCATGTGTAGAGGCACATTTCTGTTCTCTCAGCGTTCAGGAGGTAGAAGCAAGCAATCACAAGTTCAAGGTTGTCCTTTGCTACATAGAAATTTCTGGGCCAGCCTGGGATACATGAAACTCTCTCTCAAGAACAAACAAACAAAAACCCAAGCTCTCTTTCTTCATCTCTGTGTGGCCAGAGGTGGGCACTCTCGTAGCTCCATAATCTTTGGTCAAAAAGCTAGTGACCCATTGACCCAAGCAGGTGCTTTAGAACAAGCATGGGAATTCCTATTTGTGCTCTGCTCTCTCCAGTGTAAGCCTCTTGTGGTAGCTGTGGCTACAGAAAAGCCTAAGCTGAAACCATCCCTTTTAAAAAGGGCTGGAGAGATGGCTCAGAGGTTAAGAGCACCAGCAGGCAGCTCTTCCAGAGGTCCTGAGTTCAATTCCCAGCAACCACGTGGTGGCTCACAACCATCTGTAATGAGATCTGGTGCTAAATAAATAAATAAATCTTAAAAAAAAAAAAAAAAAAGGTAGACCAGATGGCCCAAAGCAGAGGTGCACCTGTTGCACCAGGGTTACATAAGTAGGTGGGTGCTGAGGCCAGGGTATGCACAGGCCTATCCTCAGCTACAGTGTGGGAACCCAGGACTCAGCAGGACTACTGTCCTTGAACACCTTCAATAGGTTGTGTTCTGGAGGTACATCAAGTGCCCTTGGCCCCACCTGTCCCTTGGCCCCAACTGAATCTGCCTGCATGTGTCCCCCAGATCACACGCTGCCCCATGATCCCATGCTACATCTCTTCCCCGGATGAGTGCCTCTGGATGGACTGGGTCACGGAGAAGAGCATCAACGGGCACCAGGCCAAGTTCTTTGCCTGCATCAAGAGAAGCGACGGCTCTTGCGCGTGGTACCGCGGGGCGGCACCCCCCAAGCAGGAGTTTCTTGACATCGAGGACCCGTAAACAGGCAGACAGAGCCTCTGCGGCCAATGGAAAAGCCTCTGAGGGTTTAGACTGGTCCAGCTCTGACATCCCTTCCTGGAAACAGCATGAATAAAACATCAATCATCCAAGTGGGTTCACGCTAGTGTGATTCTGCACCCCCCCCCAATTTTCCCTAAACATGGTTGTGGGTCTGGAGGGGCAGGCGGGCCAGAGTCCCTGTCACACCCCCTCCATCTGCCAGGCTGAGCACTGTGTGTCTCAGCCTTTGATCCTTGGGTACGGGCCGGAGAGGAAAACAGACTTTTTACCAGGCTTCTTGGGCACTGTCACATACAGCTGACAGGCAACATTTAAGGGCTTGCTAGCTCTGTTGGGGCAGAGCCTGGGAATGTGCATTTTGCAGAAACTCTTGAAGGTTGTTGTAAGACTGTGTAGCCGGCCTACCAGGTCCTTTTCATCCTGAGAGGGACATGTCCCTCATTTTCTGCAGTGGCCACCCTTCTGGCCCAAGGTAGTAGTCTCTGGCCCTTGCAAGTACCCCCCATCTCCTCTGCACCTGGTATGGACTCCGAGCACCAGGGTCTTGCTCAAGTCCAAGAGTAGCCCTCCAACCAGTGGTTCATTTGTCGAGGAGTCCTGGTCAACCCCATGAATCCACAGACTTCAGGGGCACCCCCTCATGGGAATGGGAACCCTCCCTGAGCTGTGTTTCTGGCTCTAACCAAGTCATTTCTGTCCTACCCTTCCCCATCTCCACCCGTCCCCTAGTGGGGATCTATGAGGTCTCCTGCTGGGGGTGATAATCTGTGGTGAGGGATCCTTGGCTGTCCTTGTAGTCACTCCTAAGCCTCTAGAGCTATTCTTAACCCCCTTCCAAGTGGCTTCAGGTGTCTGCGTTGAGCAGCACAGCTCTGCTTTCTGTAGCATCATGCCCTGCCGCTGTGGGGATGCTGGTAGCATTCCCTTTTTTTTGCACAAACTGAAGATTTTAGAGGCCAGTCCTGTAAGGCCCCAACAGAAAAATTCTAGTGAAATCTCCCTGCTAGGCTGGCCCTCATCACTACATGTGGATTTCTGTGTTACTAACCAAGCCCATGAATCCACACGGCAGCGAGGGAGCCTGAGAGGCGGGAAGCTCTGCTTGCCAAGCTGCCAGGATGCAGTGGCTTGTTTTCAGAGCCAGCTCATTCTCCTAAAGGTGAATTCTCAGGTAACGTATGAGGCTGAGAGGCATATGTCCTGGGCTCTGCTTCTGTCTCTTAATGTCACAGAGGCTGCCCACTCGAGGCCCTTATAGGGAACTGGGTGGGGCACCTATTTGCTCCCTAAAAAAATTGATTTTCTGATGCCAATAGGATAGGGGTTAAGACAGGCAGAACTTGGTCACTGACGATACAGACAGTCGCTCTCCCTCCTAACTGAGTCTTAAAAATAAGCTGTCCCGAGAACACACATGTATATTATCCAAACATACACACACACAAAAACAGACCCTGAAGCCTGGCAGCCTGTGACTGGTTCTTTTGTAAAATGCTTCCATAGACCTCTATCTTCCAACCCTGTCCTAACTATCAGAAACCCCAAAGCAACTGTTAAGATCCTCCCCAGATGCTCCCTACCCACGCCCCCACACCAGGATCTGGCCAGCTCGGAACTTGATTACTTCTCCTTTAAGACACCCTGGGAGGATGCCCAGGAATCAGCCTGCCCGCCCGAGGGCATTTTCATGTTGTGCAGTGATGTTCTTCCTAGGATGCTGTCATGGACCAGCCCACGAGACCCTGCTGTCTATCCCGCCCTGCCTGTCTGCTTCCTGTGCAGTGATAGCATATGTAACAATGCCCATTTCTGCTGACTTCTTGACATGTTCTGGTTCGTTTCTGGTGTTCGCTGTGAGCATTCTTGTACTGCGTTTATGCCCTTGGTAGCATTAGACTTTGCACTTTTTAAAAACAAAAACAAAAATGTTTCGGCATCGAGGAAGCATTTGACCCAGAGTGGAAAGCATGGCATGGTAGCTGACCCGGGACCGAGGAACCCTTTTGATCTTTGAGTTCTTTGAATACCTGTTTTTCCAGCCTCCTGTCTTTTGTACCTGGTTCAAATCATTATGAAGGAAGGAATCTCAGAGTAGATTGGTTCTAAAAGATGGCCTTTATCATTTCTACTCACGTTGGTTTTTCTAGCCCTACTGGGCAGATGAGAGGAAAGCAAACAGACAAGCAAACTATTGGGACAAAGTGCCAGATGGCAGCTGAGCAGCGGCCACTCAAATGCCTTTGCAGCAGATCAATCGCAGTCTACACTTTAAGGAATATCTCCGCTTGGCGTTGTTTAACTTCTGTTGTGTTCTAAGCACTGGGCTTCCCTCCCTCTGCCTCTGTCATGCCAGCAACTCGAATATTTCAGATGACGTTTACATGGTAGTTATTTCCAAATCTCTGCTTGATGCATATTAAGACATATCTGTGAGCTTGCCACATAATTTAAAGCTTTGTTGATTTTGTTTCCGTTTGAACTCTTGGTTGTTGGGGGGAAGCACCATGTTCATGCTGGAATATGAAGTCTGAGATGAACCCCCCGCCCCCCCACACGCTGGCAACACCTGAGAGTTGTTGAAAGTCAACAAGCCAACCGCGCGTGTCTCTGATGCTTTGTATCAGTTTTGATTTTGATTTTTTTTTTGAGTGATTGCTCTGTCAATGGACAATAAACCATATTATCAAACAGAAGGTTGGCTCCCTGTGTGGCTGTTTCTGCTGTTTTTTAGCGAGGGATGCGGGCCAAGTGTCTACCAGCTAGAGGGAAGGGGAGTCACAGAGGGAAATGGAGGACCGAAGAAGGCATCCGATGCCTTGGAACTGGAGTGAGAGGCAGCGGTGAGCCATGTGAGTTCTGGGAGCCAAACCTGGGTCCTCTGCAAGAGAACTCGGTGCTCTAAACTGCCAAGCTGTATCTTCAACCCCTGCATGTCCATTCTTTAATAACCAAGAAGAACATTCCTGCCTGATAAAAAAAATGTTCAGCATGGCTGAAGAAATGGCTCATCAGGTAAAGGCATTTGCTGCCAAGCCTGGTGATCCAAGTCAGGTCCCTGGAACCCACGTGGTGGAAGGCGAAACCTATTCCTCCACGTTGTCCTCTGACCGCCACATGTACACACTTGAGTATACATACAGACAAATATATAAACATGACTTTAATTTTTAAAATGTAAAGCAGCCAAGCATGGTGACATGCATATAGAATTCTGGCTTTTGGGGGCTGGAGAGATGGCTCAGCAGTTAAGAGCACTGACTGCTCTTCCAGAGGACCCAGGTTCAATTCCCAGCTCCCACATGGCAGCTCACAACTGTCTGTAACTCCAGTTTCAGGAGACCCAACAAACTCACACACACAGGCAAAATGCCAATGCACATAAAATAAAAATAATTAATTAATTAAAAAAAGAATTCTGGCTTTTGAGGCCGAGGCAGGAGAATCATGAATTTGAGGTAAGTTGGACTACATAGCTAGACTATCTGGCAAACTCACCTCTGAGCCTGCAGAAAGATGGAGTGTGGTTGTGGGGACAGGGGTACTTCTACAGGCATCGTCTAGAAATAAAACTGACGGCCAAATTCTGTGTGTAGTCCATCACTGTGTCTCGTTTCACCCCTTTTAAGGGGAGCCACAGGAAAGCCAGGCACAGTGTTCCAAAAGTGCTGTCCCAGGCGAGTGTTGTGGGACTTTTCTGGGCCAACGTGAACAAATGTTTATTCACTCTGGATAGAAAACAGTGACAAACCAGAGAAATGGTCTCCCCAAATCCACCGTGACAGAGGCTGGGGGTGTGGCTTGCCTTGCCCAGCATGTATGAAGCCTCTGATCGTATCTGCAGCACTGAATGCCCTGTCTGTAGTGGTACATGACTGTAATCCTGGTATTCAGGAGGCAGAGGCATGGAGATGAGGATTTCAAAGCCATCCTCAGCTACACAGTGAGCTCCAGGCTAGCTTGGGCTATGCAAGACTGTCTCAAAACAGCAACAACAAAAGCCCAGCACTCTCCCTTGATGAACCCAAGAGCTTTGGCGTTATTTACTGGGGCATGGGTGGCTTAAAGGCAGCTGCATCACCAGAAGGGGTGCCCCACCGTGGCTGATGCCACACCACTAGAAACCCCTGCTCAGCCTGAAGGCAGCACCACCCCGATTCTTCTCTCCCAGCTATCGCTTACTTCTGACATAACCCGGGGAGGGAGGGCCCTTGTGAATCTTGTGACTGAGGCTTCTGAGCCTCCTTCTAGTTCCAGGAGGGAACATGTCAGCTCAGAGGAAGTAGCTGTACAGAGTCAGTGGGATACTCCTAATGCCCCAGCGGTGAGTTCTTAAATACAGCCCCACCCTTACAAAACCCTGGCAGGCAATAAAGCTTCCGGGAAATGCTGTGTCCAGTCTTTCCAGAGCTCTGGAGGCAGAAGCAGGTGGATCTCTGAGCTCCAGGCCAGCCTCATCTGTGTAGTGAGTTCCAGGTGAGCCAAGACTATACAGTGAGATCCTGTCTCAAAAACAGAAAACAAACAAAACAAACCCAGAGTCAGAGAGTGGCTCAGTGGTTGAAAGGGCTTGCTGTGTAACCATAAGGACATGAGTTCAACTCCCAGCACTCATTAACAAACCGGATGGAGTCGTGTGTGGACCTGTGACCCCAGTACTGTGCAGGGAAGGGACAGGATGCTCTCTGTGACTTGCCAGCTGCCAGGTTAGCCAAAAAAAATGCTAGCTCCAGATTCAGGGGGAGACCCTGCCTCAAAGAAAGCTAGAGATGGCTCAGTGGTTAAGTGCACTGGCTGCTCTTCCAGAGGACCTGGGTTCAATTTCCAGCACCCACATGGTGGCTCATGACCATCTGTAATTCCAGTTCCAGGGGGTTGGACACCTTCTTCTGGTCTCCATGGACACCTGCATGCACACGGCATACACTTACACAGACACACACACATAAGTAAAATAAATAATAAAAAATAAAATACTTGGCCGGGCGGTGGTGGCTCATGCCTTTAATCCCAGCACTCGGGAGGCAGAGACAGGCGGATCTCTGAGTTTGAGGCCAGCCTGGTCTCCAAAGCGAGTTCCAGGAAAGGCACAAAGCTACATAGAGAAACCCTGTCTCAAAAAACCAAAAAAAAAAAAAAAATTCGTTAAAAAAAAAAATACTTTTTAAAGAAAGAAGGGAGAGATGGATAGAGGAGACCTGATGCTCTCCTTTGGTCTTTGCATGTGTACAGGTGTGAGCGCCCACACACACATGTACGCACACACACTACACTCACATACAAGACATCCAAATCAGTTTGAAAATCATGAATCATGAGTCATCTTGTGTGGGAGCCCATAACTGACTCAGTTTCCCAGTTTGAATCTGAAGTCTATTCTGAGTCAATAAAGTTCAAGCTTGCTTGTTTCAGGGCTGTGAGAAAGTCCTGATTAGCCCACAGGAAGGAACACACTATCTAGCTAAACGCAGGCTGCTGACGCCAGCCGGAGGCACATCGAGATAGAAAATGAAACTGTCTGCTCCTTGACTCAAGGACAGGATAGAGAGTGGCTGAATGCCTGGGCTGTGCATTGTTCTATCTCTGTCCTTCAAGAGTGTACATAAGCTGGCTGTGACGTGAACTCAGGACTGTCCAGCACTGAGTGGCAGTTCTCTCGACGCTGTTCTGTCTCCTTCATTGTCTCTACAATCCGCACACCTCCAGCCAGCTACCTGGTTGACTTGTCGGCTGGCTCCGACAATCTTGCATATACATTTGTTTTGTTTTGTTTTTTGTTTTGTTTTGGTAGGAAGGGGGATTTAAGATAGGGTTTCTCTGTGTAACAACCTTGGCTGTCCTGGAACTCATTTGTAGACCAGGCTAGCCTCGAACTCACAGAGATCTGCCTGCCTCTGCCTCCCAAGTGCTAGGATTAAAGGCGTGCGCCACCACTGCACAGCTTTGGGTAGACATTGTGAAGGATTCAGGAGAACCTCAAGCAAGCTTAGGGACCCACCTGCTTTACCTGTTCTGTGCCAGATGGCCTTCTCCTGGAGTTCTGGAAAGTGCTCACCACTCCTGTCCTGGACCTGGGCCTCTTTTGGGCCCTCCCTCTGAAATCTTCTTTCTGTTCTCACTCCTGGTCCTTGCTCGTCTCATTCTTGGCTCAGGTTCTCATGGTAAGTGTCACACTGGAAGAAGGTCAGGCTGAAGTATGGATGTCACCTGTAGGTCTCATTATGAACACCGAATCATTCCATGTTACTGGAATACAGTTTGGTCCTGTGGGGAGGATGTAGGAGTGACCAATCACGGAATGTGGAAAACAAGAAGTGTTCTGCATATGCCTTGGGTGGGGTCATTGGGAAGGGGTGTGGCTTAGTGCTGTGGGTGGGGTCATTGGGAAGGGGTGTGACCTCTGGACAGTGGGAAGGCTGTGTGTCAAAGTCCTGGGAACTTCTGAGGAAGGGAAGAGGCTCCTGAGCTCAGGGTTGGGGTCCTCTCAGGAAGCTTCCCATAGCACCTGTATGTCCTACTGAGGATGAATATTGGGGTGCAGGGGAAAGGTATATAAGGGCAAAAGAGCACAGGGCTTGGCACAGGACCGTAACCCTTGCTACTTGGGAGGCTGAGACAGGAGGATAGAAAATTCAAAACCAGCCTGTGCAACTTAGCAAGACCCTGTCTCTAAGAGTAAAACAGAAAGGTGAGGTCGCAGCTGCTTGGGAGGTGGGCATCAGTGATGGGAAGGGCTGTGGAGTGTGTGAGGGCCCAAAGGTTGTGAAGGTGTGAGAGGGCATGAGTGTGGAAGGTGTGTGCTCAGAGTGGGAAGAAACGAGTGCATGGGACATGTGGCTGTGAACACTGTGTGGATGTGTGTGGTGTGTGTTACGGAAGTATGGCAGGGAGTGTGCATGTGTAGGTCTGGGCAGCGGCAATCCTGGACCAACATACTCATGGAGAGAGTGGATCCTGCCCAGCTTCATTCAGGGGAAGGATCCTGCCAGCCTGGGCACAAGCTGGCCAGGGCCCCAGGGCAGTTCCAAGGGACAGATGTAAGGACCTAGGATCCCAGCAGTTTCCTGTTTTAAAAATGGCAACTTGGAGTCTCATTAAGCCCTGGGGTGGACTGATGTATCCCAAAGAGAAAGGGAGCCCTAATGACTGAAGCTAGGATTCCTAACCACACTGTGGGAAGAGCATTAAATAAATATACATTGTTAGCACAAAACAAAACGGAATAACTTTGTCCTGGCTGTGTAGAAGAGTCCCACAGCAGTCGCTGAATTTGCTGAGGTCCTCAGGGACCCCGTTCTGGCCTCTGTCTGTCTTGCTGAGATCCTCGGGGGCCCTGTCCTGGCCTCTGCCTGCCTTGCTGAGAAATAAATATCATTTAGGAAAGTCAGTTTCCTGCGTTTTTTAAATTGTTGTCACAAGATTGCCGATTATCTGAATGAGGTATTCACTTCAGGAACCAGTAAGTGGCAGCGCCATAAATGTTTTCCCCAAGTGGCTAGGCCCAGGAGTAGGGGCTTTTACTTGCCTTAGTCGGGCTTCTGGAACAACACCAATAGACAACAACCACCTTGATCCCTGGTCCTGTCTGCATGGGTAAGGATGGCATGGACCACTGTTGTCCCTGAGGACTGTGCAAACAAAGTGATGGGTCTATGTCAGAGGCCAGTGGCCAAGGCTGTCAGTACACGTCACGCCC